TATGTGTGTGTGTGTGTGTGTGTGTGTGTGTGTGTGTGTGTGTGTGTGTGTGTGTGTGTATGTGCTTTTGTTAGCAAATATGTTTTGGACCAGTTGATGATTTTAATAACATTTTTAGAAGCATGTACATCTAGCGGTTAGCTAGCGTTTAGTGTTTGTCTTAGTGTATATCTTAGATCCTTATATACTGTTTCTTTTTATACTTTATATTTTTGCTATTTTTGGGTGTAACTGGGACCCTGAGTACATAATATCGTTCCACCTCATGTACCACATGTGATGCGAATGACTATAAATGAACTTGAACTTGATCTATAAATGATTACAATTTGAAGTCAACCTGATTAAAGATGGGCGTCATAGCTTATCAATGTTACCAACCACAAAAAATGGCCATAACTCAGGTAATCTTGCAGGCATCGAGTTAAAACTGGGTGTGGTAGTATCTGAGAGTTATCTGCAACAACCAGCCATGTGCTAATAAATAACATGAGATTTTTGTTTAAAACATTTGCATGCATGTTCGTGGATGATCTGCTCTCTTTTAAAGAATGCCAGCTTGGTTATTTCATTTTCTTTCATTATTGTTTACCAATACAACATATTTATATATTTTTTACCCACTTTTCATCAGAATAACTCTAAACATCAGGAATGTCAGAGGAGGTTTAGCGAGATAGTTAGGTATATAAGTAATTGTTCATTTAGCTGAAGATTAACTGATGTCAAGGTCTGTTAATATTTTGCATACACATGCCTTAACAGTTCACATTTACATGCATAAATATATAGTTACGTTTTAGTTGCATGGAGATACACATGCTCAAACAAAAGCACACATGTGGGCACATGAGGCAGTAATTACAGTTTAGAACAGATCCCATGGCTGATGGTTCACCTCAACTCTGAACAACAGCTATTCTGGATCTCTGAGGATAAAAGGAGGGTTCCAGTCAGAGGCCAACTTTAGCTACAAGGCTAAGAACATTAATTACTCATAGGGGCAACACAGAAGGGCAGATTAGACTATAATTGGTGGGTTTGCCTGCAAACTCCATGAATCGGTGAGCACCTCTGCTGACCAATGCATCAGCAGCTGATTACAAGGCTCGGCTTCGCTCCATGCGCCGCAAATAACCCACTGATAAAAATGCAAGCTATTTGTTTCACCCTCTTGTCAAAGTAATTATGCACTTGGTCCAGGCTATACAAAATTTTACGGTTGTAAAATAGATTGTACTTTGGGGGGGGGGGGGGGGCACCGTGTTTGCATACAGTGACCTGGAATTGGCCTTGACGGTGTATGTTTTTGTAGAGAACTCAGTGTTACTGATCTACAGCTAGTGATGGCATTTAACGTAGGGCGTCATTTGATCTTTTTCTTCTTTTTTTTCCAACTTTGATTACTTGCTTGACTTTTTAACAGCTGATAACATTGGTCCAACTCTTTCATTGTCAGTTGACGTTCCCCTTCATTTTCACTGTTTATACCGGCTTTTACAGTGTACAGGGTTCCTGCTTTCATCGTGGTGGTTTGGTAAAACTGGGGAAAATAGTAATTTGGGAACATTTTCATTACATAATAATGTTGTTTCCCAGTATTGCATAATATGCCACAGATGATTTCCCAGAAAGAAAAAAAAAGCTCCAATTGAAACTATGCCACTGTGCTTTTGCCAAACACTCACGCACAGATAAATAGATAAGAGTTTTAATAGGAAAGCACCAGTAACACTACTGCCAGCACTTGCACACAAGACTATCACCTTTTGCCATGGAGTTTCCCAGTTTAGACAGACTTCACACACAGCCCGTCCTTAAGTGGGAGGGGGATAGGCCAGTACAAATACTGCCTCCACATTTAAAAATCTGTCAGCTCATACAGTCAGTTCAGACCAGTAAGTACAGTTGCAAAGACGTGCCGCTAATTTGACAATATCATTAGATAAGTTACATCTGTCTTCACTTTAGAGACATCAAGGATCATAATTTAAAACAACCTTCTGGACCCTGACAGACTTGCCCACAGGAGCGTTTTGTTCTGACAGAACCCCCGTGTAGATCCCGTGTCAGATTGTTTCTACATTCGATGACAGAGCAGCATGTCAGAGGAGGTGAAACCAGAGAGCATGCCTTTGTGTCCTGTGAGCACAGCAGCCAATTCCGAGCGGGAGCTGCTCTGTATCTTTGGGACGGGGGACTTGGGGCGCTCCCTGGGTCAGCGTCTACTCCAGTCTGGCTACAGGTTGGTGTACGGCAGCCGGAGACCTCACAGCTGTGGCCCCCTGCCTCCAGGAGCTCAGGTACACTGCATGAGGTCATGTCTGAACAAGACGATGCAAATGTTTGGTTTTTTTGTTCATGAGGAATTTATTATTGTTATCGGACACTGACATTCGACACGATGATCTTAAACTAAATTGTTTTGACCAAGTTTGGAGATGAAAAGATCATTTGTATGTGTTGAATATGCTCATTTATAAGAATTTGTTTAGTCTGGTCCTTTTCATAACAATAGGACAAGTTATCCATAAAACCACAGCATGTGAGACATGCACAAATTAAAGAATAAAACAATACAGTTCTGTCAATATTAAACTACTTAAAAGCCTTGCATTACCATAAAGAATATGCAATTTTTATTCATGGCAGACCATTAAACTAAGATCATATTATGATGAGGAGGAACAGAGCTTTAGCTCTTTGGGCCAAATTTTGACAATCCAAAAATCTGCAGGTTTTGTTTCGTTGTGTGATGCATTTTATAGAACTTTGGTTTCATTGTTAGGGCAAGTGCATGTGAGTTAGACGGCTTGATATTTGTGATTACTGGACATAACGATAGTGATGTAGGGATGTGTTTGTCTTACAGGTTCTGAGTCACGAGGCAGCAGCACAGTCAGCCAGCCTGATCTTTATTTGTGTTCACAGAGAGCATTATGACTTCCTGGAGTCTCTTGCTCCTCAGCTCAAGGAGAAGGTGCTGCACAGTCAGATGATGACTTACAGAAGTGTCTCCATTTTTAATTGTTTTCTCCTTCATATCCAATCATTTGATTTCACTGATTGAAAGGTGGTGGTGGACGTGAGCAACAATCTCAAGAAGAACCTGTACCCAGATGCCAACGCTGAGTATCTGCAGAGGTAAGGAAAAACTAAACAGCAGAGTACTGAGCTGCCTCCAGGATCATGTGGTTGAAACTATCAGAAACTGGCAGGGCATGAAGCTAAAGTTTGCTGTTTAATGTCCAGATTGATCCCTGGAGCTCATGTGGTGAAAGCTTTTAACACCTTGTCTGCTTGGACTCTTCAAAATGGACCATTAGATGCCAATAGACAGGTAACTGGAGGTGTTTATGATGTTGAAATAATGCTCAAGCCTAAACTTTAAATGGACTTCAAACACTAGATCAGCATTCACGGTATTGTTCTGTACATGTCTTTACAATCTAACTACATTTGTGTTCTTTGCATGATGTTAACAATTCATTTATCAAAATGATCAGCTCATTCAAAAGACAGATGCAATAAATTCATTTTGTGACTTTCATGCTTTTCAAAATATTCAACGTTATTCATAAATAATCTTGTCAGTTCTTTAAAAAAAATGTTTTTAATTTGCTTCAGCACACTTTGCTCTTTTTTCTTTCTATTAAGCTACTTTTAGCTTTTAGCAAGCCTTTGCTATGTGTGGGTTTCTTGATGGTCTTTTGCCACTTTTAGCTTTTGCTAGTGCTTTGATTCTTCATACATATCAGTTTCAGCATCTTTAACATGTTTCAACAATGTCAGCACTCTGCATTCACACTACATTTTAAATACAGATTCTCTAGTTTATTATTAAATCTAAATTGGTTTACGTAGTTGTTTTTCATTTTCCATCAGAGAAAAGCTAACCATTTTTATTTTACTTTTTTTTTTTTTACAGTTCTCTGATATGTTTGCACAGTGGGTGTTTCCATCAACTTTTAGAGAAGGAAAAAAACCTTAGAATTTAATCCATCCATCCATTTTCTTTACCTGCTTGTTCCATTTTGGGTCACGGGGGTCGCCGGTGCCCATGTCCAGCAATCACTGTGCGAGGGGCGGGGTACACCCTGGACGGGTCGCAAGTCCATCACAGGGCCACATAGAGACAAAAAAAACCATTCACTCTCTCACTCACACCTTGGGACAATTTAGAGTTACCAATCAGCCTAACATGCATGTTTTTGGTCTGTGGGAGGAAACCGGAGTACCCGGAGAAAACCCACGCATGCACGGAGAGAACATGCAAACTCCACCCAGAAAGGCCCCTGGTCCGGGGTTTGAACCAAGGACCTGCTCGCTGAGAAGCGGCAGCTCTACCAGTTGCGCCACCGTGCTGCCTTAGAATTTAATATCTCGTTTAAAATTTTTCATTGAATCTAAATAAAAGAGCTGAGTTTAAGGAGCCAGCCTAATGCATTTGCTGTAAATACTTGGTCTGATGCAGCTTTGAATCAATTAACTCCCCAGTCTGTCTTAGATCTAACATGTTTTGCTCACTCACTCTCTGTAGTGCAAAGCTGCAACACATGTGGGTTTTTCAGTTTTGTTTTGATCTCATTGGGAAGTCTCAGAGGACAGTAAAACACCCACACCCCCGCAT